ACCTATAACAATCCCCAAGAATCAATTATCCGATCTAACTCCTCTCATGTTTACATTAACACAATGATCCCCTTCTCCACCACCCCCAAAAAGAACACATCTCCTGGCCTCCAGATTATTCGGTCTGACCAGGTTAATGTATCAAGATAAACATTAAAGGACATAGTAGAAATTTAAACCGGCCAGAGGCTAAGACTTGAGCTAGAATGTCGGCAAAAAGCCTGATAGGGTTAAGGGTTTTAGCAAAGACTACTGCAGAAGGCCGTACCAGCAGTTCCAGCAAGTAAGGAGTATCTGACAGTCAAGGAGCTGAGAGGAACAGTCTGGAGGGAGCCCAAGTAGACAAGCTACAAGCATCAGAGTAAAGAGGAAACCAGAATAGCAACCATAGAACAGAAGTAGACCCGGCTAACTTAGGCAGGGGTGAGGGGTGGTACATCCTTCCTCCCGGAAGTAATCAATGCCGTCCTTCGGACCTGCCCACCATAAGGGGGAGGAGCGTGTGTGAGTGCTCATTGTAATTCATTTGACTTGCCGGGGAATAGGAACCGGACTGATGCTCCCCAGAATGGAAAAGGAGCCAGAACCATAAGGTTCTGTTTAAAGGAAAAAAAAAGTAGCAGCAGCAATAATAGTGCAGATGTAGCAGCAGCTGTAGCAGTTGCTGTAGCAGTAGCAGTAGCAGTAGCAGTAGCAGTAGCAGTAGCGGTAGCAGAAGGAGTAGTGGGAGTCATAAAATTGCAAAGAGCTACTGTTGATGTGTTACTGGTGGAATTCACTTCGTAGCAATAGTAGTTATGGTAGTGGCCGTGGCAGCCGTAGTTCCCCTTTTCTTTTTACTTGTCTCACATGGGGACACGTGTTGACGGATCAAATATAACAGTTGACAAAATTTGGGGCAAGATTGACTTTATCCAGCATTTGGCTGACAGCCGTGATCCTTTTCGTTCGGCGTGTAAAACATGGACCCCTATGATGCTCCTCTCAGCCCTATCAGGCCGCCTGATTTCCACATGCTCTTCAAGAGCCGTCATAGAAAACTGGTTGAAGTGTACTAGCCCCGTTGTCCAGTATCTACTCCCTCCCCTCCCCTAGTGCTGGTTCCTGTTCTGCATATGCCTGTTGCTTCGCGTAGCCTCCTTTCTACAGAGCCGCCACTAAAGTATTAGTGAACTGGGTCATACTTCTGGTCAGGGTTGCAACCCCCGATGGTCGGCGGCCCTTGACTGGTCGACAGCTACTGGTTGGGGATCATCGGCACCCCAAGAAAAAAAAAGAAGAAAAAGGGGTCCAGAACCCCTAATAACACCACCAACACCCCCATAGCGGCCCCCAATACCCCCATACACCCCCCTAACACCCCCATACCGCCCCCAACACCCTCATTACCCCCCCCAATACCCCCTATATCGCCCCTACCCCCCCTATACTCCAACCTCAACCCCCCCATACCCCCCCATCCCCAAAAGTTTCTCAGCGGATTTGGGCTGTACTGAGCAAGCGCAGTACAGCCCCAACTCAGATTTGAAAATAGATGAGTGGATGGTTGTTTTCTGACTGGTCGGCAGACCGCCGACCGGTCGGCCCTACTGGTCGGCTGCAATACGGTCGGCGGTCGGCGTCGGCGGTCGGCAGGGATGCAACCCTGCTTCTGGGTAAATCTGGGGTCCTGAAGGGGCCTGCGGCAATGAGTGAAAACAGATCTTGTGCTTATCAATCATCACAATTTTCATGTCCCCTAGCATATGAAATCTGCTACGATTGTTTCCTCGTTACCCTTGTTCTTGATGATCTTCCTTTCTGTTCTTGCCCATTCCACTCTGTATGAGTCTGTAATGCGTTTTTGAGGGCATACTCACACCAGGACTTCTTCCACAAAGCTCTTCACGTGATTGTAGCCAGATTCATCCAGGTCTGGTCGAAATTGCAGTCAGATGCATGTTGGGAAATGCTGGTGCGAGTATGCCCTAAGACTTGCAGTATGCTTCCCCAAACTTCGGGCCAGGCAATGCGTGTGATTTAGAGTTTCTTGACATCTGTGTTTCCACATCATCCAGATACGAGCCGATCTTACACAATGAAAAGCTTATTCCATTTGGCTCTATGACATTTGGCTCTATGATCGTGATCTGTATGGAAATTTCAAAGTTCAAACCGTATTTCATTCATAAGCTCGCTGATTTAAATAAAAGAGACCTTTTGCAATTGGATTTGATTGGATCCCGAGGTATTTCTAGAGTGTAATAGTGTATGCATATGCGCAAGACTCTGCCGAGTGGTAACACATTATAAAGCATCTGACCTGGCCAGTGCAGTAATGTGAAAAGGAGAAGTGACAAGTTTGGAATGGAAGCCCCAGTAAACGGTGGCATTAAATTGACTTCACCGTTTTCTTTTGAGATCGTCTATTACCTCTAACTTTTCATAGAGGAGAGGAGGTTTCGTTTTTTTTTCCAGCTCGAGGAAGTGCGAGGCACAAGGCCTCGATAAGCCCTACTGGGCCCCTATTTGCAACAGCGTCGGCCGCCCTAAGTGAAGGCAGGCCCGACAGACCCTAAGAGGCCTATTTTGGACTACTTCGCAACTAGGGAAAATTCAGGCAGTTGCGCAGCGCCAGTTGGTTGGAAGCGCCCAGGCCCTGGCCTCCTTTATCAAATGCATCTGAGTCAGGCCCTGGGCGAGATTCGCAGCATAGGCCCAACTCAGGCTGTGGGCAGTTGGGCACAGGTAAYTGTCGGTGGCCCTGGGCCAATTCGTTTGGTCTGAGGCTCAGCCTCCCTGGGCCTACYGGAAGCTTCTGGGCAGAGGCCCAGCACAGCCAGGCTGCACGCACGCAGGCTGGCCATTTTCCATATAGGAAAGGGCCAGCCCACGCTGGGGTCATTCGKGCACTGGCTGCTTTGTGCGCAAGCGCTGCTGCGCTATCGCCTGCCAGGCTCACGCGCTCACGGGCGAGCTGGAAGGAGCAGGCAGCCATAGACGAGCTGCGCTGCTGTATGCTGGATGGGGCGCAGGGTGGTCCTTGGGTGCAAGTGGCATCTGTGAGTTGGGGAACGAGATTGTGAGTGATACRAGAGACATACCTGGTGCTTGAAGCGTGGGGCATTGTCCGAGATCTGCTCRTACTTCGGGGAGCTGTTGACGTCATCAGCGGCATTGTAGAGTAGGCTAGATAGGATCTGCCATCTGTAGTCTGGGCGCCGAGCGCCAAATAGGATATCAACATTGGTTCTTCGTTGATGATGATGATGAGATTATTCCAGCATTGTCAATTATGAGCTTTTGGTGTGCTCTTATTTGGTGAAACTCGTGATGCAATTCTGCTTTCGGTTCGAGGTCATGACTATCTGGTCTGATGTGTATGATGCTGTTTGATTGCTGAAGTTCGCTATTGCTCATCATCCTTGCAATTTGGTATCGGAGTTGTGGTTCGGTGCGCTAATTTGGCGCTTATCACGGTGTGCGGTGAGCGACCGTGCCGTGGGCCGTGTGTAGTGAGGAGGACGAAGATAAGTTGGCGACCCAGGTGGAGAGGGGATCGCCAGGAAGGCTACGTGGGGTGATATTGGGTGTTCGCAGTGTGATGAGAACCATCCAATGTGTGATTGGTGCTGAGGTGGAACGGCTGTGCAATGCTGGTTGTGCCGAAGCAGCGATTGGTCGTCACAATCAACATCGGTCATCTGGTGAGAATATCTGTGGTTGGGGGCAACTATTTTGAGGTACGTTGCACCTGACATTATCTACCCTCTTCGACACTTCTTACCGTGAGGACGTGTGCTCTGTCTTGAGAGTCCTCTCATGTGAGGAGTCGTGTGCGCTCAACCTTGAGAGTCGTCAGCCTTCACATGGAGCATCTGGAATGAGAGAGCAGTGCTATCTGAAGGGCCCTGGACGAAGCACTGGGTCACGGTCACCATGCCAACCCACCAGGAGTAGAGCACGCATGCTTTGCTGCTTGTCCTTTGTTCAGCTCGCTGCACTGGTAGCGGGTTCTGAAGGGCAGGCTAGCCCTATGTGGGAGACGAGTACCGGGCGTCTATAAATAAACACCGGCAGGGGAAACCATTGGCTGTGATCGTCGTCCTGTTTGCGACGTAAAATAATTCTTGAGGACACTTGGGGGCGGTCCTTAAATAGCCTCTTGATCAGCCAATCGGTGTAAGGCTCGCTGCACGCGAGGATAAACAATGTGCTAGGGCTGGCCAGCTCAGCAGGACTCGGGGCACAGGGGTGGGCCGTGTGCACACCTTCAGACACGCACGCTATCTGGATCGCTTAAGGACGTTGACGACAAGCGACATTCAAGAAGAATTGAGGGAGGGGTAGATTCCAGGTGATAAGTTCGGGAAATATCCCATTTTGCAAACAGACCCAACAAGTGATTCTATTTTGATTAGTTCGATGTACAACCATTAACATCTGACAGACAACATAGTTAGAATTGTATTCTGTTTATTGTGCTTTCTGTTTGTGAACTAGTCGAAGTCAAAGTAGTTTCATTTGTAGGAATCTGAACTTACCTGTTGGACCCAAATGTTTAGTTTCTGACAAAGCCACCGATTACTTAATCGGTCTGTATAGCATGTTGCGGTAGGCATCAAGAGTGTCCTAGTGCAGACACCGTACAGTGCTGTAGTCTATGAGCGACAGGGAGGCCCCACAACCGGATGATAGGCTTTTGCGATCGACAAGACGTCCTATAGCTCACTTGGCATTAGGACCAGAGGGTGATAGATTTTTGTTCCGCCAGCTTCGAGAGAGACAGTAGCAGCAGCGGTGAGCTAGGGCAGCAGAGGCCAGCAGAGCATTCGCAAGCGAAGCCGCTGTTTCAGCGGCCATGGCAACTGTTGCGCAGCAGAGTTCCCAGGCCGGCAGTTCAGGGTTAGTAGGGTCAACGGTTGCACAAACCGAGAGTCAGTCCACTGGCGTGATGGCAATCCAGCCATTAGTGATAACCCCCGAGGTGGTCGCCATACAACGAGCTGTTGAACGCGAGGCATAGCTACAGCAGGCTTTGGGGGAGGTTAAGGCTGAAAAAGAGAGAATGATTAGGAGAAGAGCCAGGATGCAGCGGAGGCAAGCGGACATTAGTGAGTTAGAGGAGATGGACCCAGCAGAGCTGCAACAGGATGTGAGGACTATAAGGTCGGTCTTGCTAGGAGTTGTAGAGATGCAAGATCACCAGATGGCGATCTTACAGGACATCCAACAGAGTCTGGCTGTGTTAGTCGGGCAAGTGCAGGCGGCACCATCGCTGTCCGGGCCCGGTGCCTGGCCCGTTGCACATCCTCCTCCTTTTGTCCCACTGGTGACTGGGGTATCCCCATATGTCTCCCCAACATCGGTCCAAACCGTTTCCCTAGGTATGCCGTTAACAGGAGGGTTCTCAACAGGCCCTAGTTTGCAGGTTCCTGTACAGATAGTGTTCTCCCAACCTCCGTCTCAGGTTGCCGTTAGCGGGCAGCCTGCTGTCTCGCAGCCTGCACAGCCACAGGGTACACAGCCCCAGTAGTCAGTGCAGCAGCCTGCACCACAGGGTCCACAGCCCAGAGTAATGCAGGGACCGGGACAAAGTCAGTGGGTACCAAAGACGACCATCACCGCTCCGAAACCCTTTACAGGGGATAAGAGGGGTGAAGACCTCAACACTTGGTTGAGGGCAGTGCCGGTCTATGTTAAGTGTAAACTTACCTTGCCGCACGAGGAAGTGCTTGTGGCTGCCTCCTATTTAGAAGGGAGTGCAGCATGATGGTTGAGTGGTTTAGTGCAGCTGCAGGGATACGATCATGACTTCCGCACTTGGGCAGCCCACCAGAAACTGGAGGACTTTCTCAAGATGATGGAAGATAGGTGGCATGATCCTCAGGAGGCCCAAAAGGCCACTGACGCGATCCTGACACTCCACACAAGGCAATTAAGTCAGTAAGGGAGGCCACTGACGAAGTAGAGCGTCTGATCTGTGTCGCTGGGGTGCGCTATGAACCCCAGTTATTACCAGAGATGAGCATTTTTTTTTTGAAATGCCACTTCACCCAACCCACCCAAAACTTTCTTAGTACATGCAACCCTTTAAAAAAAAAAAAAAAAAAAAAA